TTGTGTATGATTTGTAGAAATATGAATGTAAACAATGCAATGGTAAGATTATCTTTGAGGTCATCATGAAAGAGAAGATGGCAGACGATGTTTTGTTAGAAAAGTTGAAGCTAACAACAAAAGTCAACACGAGTAACATGCATCTGTTTGATGGTGAAGGAAATATTAAGAAATATAACTCCATAGAAGAAAGTATGTATCGAAACTATTTTATTTTGGATAAATGATTGAAATATTGACATTGAATTGGCGTGTAAACGCAGTCCTAGCTGGATTTTATCGGACAAGGTTGGATTTATACGTGAAACGAAAGGTAAGTTCCTTAGAGTTTCGTGTTTGTTTGTATCTGATCAGAACACAACTTATTAGTTTCAAAACTCTTCTTACAAAATGAAGAATAGAGAATGTTAATACTGAAAAGATTTATCTTTTACATTAAATATAAATAAGTCCACATCATTTTTCCAAGCTTAGATGCCATTCATCGCATCCCTATTGCTGCAACATTTTGAAATTTTAAGACAACCTATTTGTATGCTGCAGAAGGCCATGGAGGATGCTCTTGAACAACAAATATCAGAGAAGGAGATAAAATTGAAGTTTATCCGCCATATTGCAGAGCGAAAAATTGATGTTCATAGGAAGAAGCCTCATGTATTGGCTGACTTGCGAAAGGCTTTCCCTGAAGCAACAGAACGTGATTATGACTTTCTACTCTCTGTGACAATCACTGATCAGTTGCTTGAGAAGTTCAATGAGATTTGTTCTGAAAAGGATAAACTCGAGAAGCAACTTATAGAATTGAAGGGATCCACTGCACGTTCTTTATGGCGGAAGGAACTTGATGAATTCCTTACTGAACTTGCCGTAAGAATCAAGTTTTCTGTTAAATCGTGTGATTTTCATATAGAGTTTACAGAGTTTATGATATTTTAATTCTTTTTTATGTAAATTAGAAGCAAGACAAAGCTTATCAGGAAGCACAAGGCAGAGGAAAGGGTTTGTATTTTTGTTTTCCTTTGACCTGCAGATGTTTTTTGGTTCAAATTTTCTGTTCCCCTGAAAATTAACAATGATTTCCACTCGGTTCAACTAGAAAAAGCTCCTCCTGATGGCTGCGGTGGCCGTAACACGACAGCAGCAGAAGACACACTGATCAACCAAGATTCAGAGGGTGTTGAATTACCACCGGCTAACCGCAGATCCACACGTTCAAGGAAACCAGTGATCTATAAGGATCATATGATGTATAAATAGGCATAAATGACAGGGAATGTTTAATATTAGAGACAAACTTAATATGAAATTGGTTGTTGAGAATACTTTGTCTATTGAATGAACTGGATTTGTATTGTAGTTTTCATGGTTATTGTTGTAGATAATACCAGCGGGAAGAAAGGCTCTTCGACAACGAAGAGAGCTCTAAATAACTCGGAAGTACCAGAGTTAAGGGAAGTTCAGGAATATGAGGATTGAATGAAGACTTGGTTTCGTTTCTTTGTATTTTGTTATTCCAATTGAGAAAGGTCAATTGCCTTTACCATTGATCTGCTTGCAGTTTCAGTCTCCTCAACTCTGTTTGCTACTTGTGTTGAAATGAGACCCTTGGTCTCCCTAGTTGCTTTTCGGCTATTCATGTCGGCTTCTTTCCTTAGATACTCAGGGTTCATCGATGCTGCTTGCTCTGCAGCCCTTGCTGTGTATATCATAACAACAGATTCATCACTAACTTCATTACTCTCCATTTCATGCTTAAGCTTTGTTTTCCAAAGATGGATTATGATTATGAAAATGATTTGAATAACCGTGTGTTATTTATCAAGTGCACATCTTTCTCTGCTGCAGCAGTGGGGAACAAGTCAATTAGCAAATACCATATTTTATGGCAGCACATCTCCTAGTAGGTCGATACTCTACCGTAAATGTGTTGAGTCAGCTAAGTGCAACATGACTAGGATTGAACTTCCGCAAGGTGGTATTTGGAGAGCTGATGACTTGATTCATGCTGTCTAGTTGAATGCTCCAAAGCAAACAAATCATCATTGGCATTTTCTATTCATGGCAATAAAACTTTTGGTTAGATCAATTGTGTTTTCTGCCGAAAGTAATTATTGCTGGAACATCATATGATTTGATGAATGGTATTTCAATTTTAGTTTTAATTGTTTGTTCTGCAAAGTTCAATCTTACTTGGATAAAATGCAGTGTTTTTTTTCCAGCTGAGCATGGTGAATTTCTTTGGTTGCCTGAAGATAAAATGCAGTGTTTTTAATCGTATATATTGCTTGGGTTTCTGCATTTTCTCAACTTTTTGTTCAAGTTTTTGGGAACTGCTAGTTAGCAACTTAGCTCTTAGAAGTGATACTACTGCAGAAATTACTTCAATTTATGTCCAATAAGACAAGAAAAATGTGTTTGAATTCTAGTCATGATGTGCTTGGCATACTTGTAAAGATAGTATTTTTAATAGGAGAAAAAGTTCAGTATTATTAATTTTGTATCCTTTGATTTTTGTTCTTTTTCTATTGCTTTAAACTCGTTTGCTTTGGCATTGCTTTTATAACTCAACTGGTCAACTACGGGGAACATTTCAAGATCAGTTGCAAATATTTAACAGAGAGATGAAAGCAAAAATGAAATCACAACAGATGCCTGAACAGATGAAACTTATCTGCCGTCTCAATTTTTTTTTTAATTTTTCTTGTAATGGTTCCATTTTCTGTTAATTCCTCTCAACATTCATTGTTCCTCAATGATAGTCGATCATGATAGTCGATAGTGAGCTTGATTGCATTAGCTTATCAAACTGTTGTTGTTTCATGCCTAGGTTGTATTTTGGAAATGGATTAGCCCAAAAATGCTTGGCCTGGTCACACAGACCTCCGTGTATCATTGGTCAATTGAAGGTTAGATGTTATTCTGTTAACTATCTAGTATCACAGACAGCTTTGCTTTATGCAATTCTAAAATTGTATCTTTTTTGAGTCAACTGTATAAAGTTTCTTTGGTGTTATGCGTCTTACTCCCAGCAGGTGATTCTGAGCCTGTTAAGATATTTGAGAGGACAGCTAGTTCAGTGAACAATCAGATAATAAACAATAAATGTGATCCTTCAGAGAAGTGGTTGGTTTTGATGGGATCGGATCAGTTTAATTTTCAAGTAGAAAACTACATTTTTGGAGTGGGGTGTGTTAGAACTTAATGTTTTAATTACACAGGAAGCTGTTAATTTTGCATTGATGATGTCTCTCTCAAATGGAGGGTAGTTGTCCACTTGATTACACACCATTACTCATCTTTTTCTACAGTTTTCTGCTTATGTAATTGTTTGTAAAAAATGACATCACTTTTCCTGTCAAATATGTGAGATTGTTTTCTTTTGGATTTCTGTGTTTTATTTTCAGAGGAACTTAATACGGGAAGCTACTGTGTTTCTATTAGGGTTTTGGGAACACTACCAATCCCTGGATGTTGGACAACAACATACTCCATCTTCTCTCTTTTCCTATCCAAATTCTCACTGTGTAATCGAACCAAATCGCTCACTTGTTTATCACTCAACATTGTGTTATCACATTGATCCTTGGCTATATTCACTGGCCCCATCCTCGAAGAAGTATCTCTTGGTACCCTAACATCCGATGAGGCTTTACTCGAAGGTCTCTCTCTAGGACACTCCTTACTATCTTCAATGGCAGAAGGCTTGGAACAAATGCAACCCATCATGCACCAAAACCACCCCCAACAAGAGCTTATTTCAGTGCTTCTTACAGTCACTAACCATCCTTCATAGTTAGGATATATTATTTACTAACCACATTAATTCACTAATAATATTATTTAAATTAAACTATCATCGATACAAGATTGTAAAATAAAGACATAATATTAAAAAATTTGTATTATTTGATGAAGTAGTTACTTTGGTATTTATATTTTAGAGTATTTTGGCATCTAATATTTTATTTTGAGATAAAAAGGTCTCTCAATGAATGATAATCAAAGTCAACAAACAATTAATATTCCAAAATATGAATATTTTATCTTAAATATTAAACATTAGTTGGTCAAAATGCTAAAAAAAAGAATAAGGTCAAAGTGACTATTTAGTCAAACGTTAGAAGTTATCTTACCTAAAATGTTTAAAGAAAAAAAAAGAAATTAAATGACTATTTAATCAAATATTAGGCTTATTTTTTAAAATTATATCTAGGAATGGGCACAAGACTCAAACTTGATGGTCTTCGACGAGACCCAACCCTATTGGCTTATGTTTTTTTCTTTCAAAATTCAAGTTTGAGTTGGATCAGGTTTTTTAGAAGATAAGTTCGAGTTCAGATTTTGGAAGAAATATTCGATCTACCCAATCCAAAAAATAATGTAAGTATACGTTATATATTTAGAGATAATTGCATTATTATTATTCTTTATATATATATATATTCAATTAGATCCTTATTTTATCAAATAAAATTAAAAATATTATATATGTTTATATATTTTTGTTGGATCAAATACATGTTTTATTTTAAAAGACTGGTCGGGTTTTTGGTCGGGTTTTAGGTCGGGTGGAGTCACCATAACTAGGGTTGAATAAAATTTTTGATAGAAAATGTATTTTTCTCGGGTTGATCGAAAACCCGATCCAACCCAACCTATACCCATTCTAATTATGCCTAAAAATAGAAATTAAAATTCTAAAAAATAAAACTTGAAACATAAAACATAAATTATTATTTAATCACTATATTGCGTTAAATAATTATTATATAGTTAATAGAAATAATATTTAATTAAATTTAAAATCAATTATATATTTAGATCAATTATAAAAAATTGATGTTATTTTTTATTACTTTTAATCAATATTTTAAGAGATTCCAAACTCTACAAATGATTTTGGTTTAATAATAAAAATCAATATTTTAGAAATTTTCTAATATTAAGTTGGAGTTTTATCTTATGCAAGTTTTGTATAAATTCTCCCAAAATTTCTGCAATTGTCTCTCCTCCGCCGCTAAGCTTCTTCCTTGTCTATATTCTTAATTTATAGTTGTTTCGTGGGTAGGGCAATTTCAACCCAACAAATAAAGTTTGGTATTCTTTTGTTTATTTCATTTGAACCCTAATTGGTGCCGCCGTAAACCTTCATTTCTACTCCGCCGCAAAGCTAGACTTCCTTGTCTTTGTTCTTAATTTATAGGTGTTTCATGGGTAGGGCGATTTCAATACTCAATGAGCCTTAATCGGCGGTTCGCTTCGGTGCCGGTCCACCATTCATACCTCTAATCCAAAGCTCCCAACACAAAGTGCGAGTTTTGTTCGAGTGATTGATTTAACTTCCCCAAATTTCGATTTTATTATTATTATTATTATTATTATTTCCGAAACTGCAGGTTTAGCTTTCCAGAAGCAGCCCCTTTTACAGCCATCTTGAAATTCAGAGTCCCTCCCCAAAATCATCAATGGTAAATCAATTCCTTCCATCTACTTTTGTTAATTATTATTTTTGTATTTTTTGTTTTGTTTTGCATGTTAGGATTTGGGATTGGCAGGTTTTAACTGGCTTAGATTAGCATTTTTGGAGGGAAAATAAGAATTTTGAAAATATTGATGATTTAGACAGAATTAGACAGAATTCCCAGGAACCCTGTCATGCAAATCTCCCACCTTTCGTCTCTTGCCCGTCAACTACGAGTCACTTGATCACACTTTGGTTACATGCACGACTAATACCTCACCTTCCTTACTCTGTCGAGTAATTTCAGTTCATAGCTGCACTATTGCCTGAGCATAGCTGTATTGTATGAGATTAGTTCTCCGTCTCCCCTGACCTCAGTCTGGTCTGTAACAACACAATCTGAAAGGTGAATGGTTGATTTTGATTTTTTTTAATTGCTAGTATTGTACAAATGCTGTATATTTTTTCATGCGAAATCTCTATATGTTTTCTATGAAGCTTTTCCCCTTAACTGCCTTGTACAAATTAGTTACTCCCTAATCTAGACGATCATATATTTAATTATGTTGCCTTTATGCCACAATATTTTCAGGCCTAGCGGGGCTGCTCGGCTGCATTAAATTAATTTTGGTGTCTGCAATCTTGGCGCCTCTTTGCTTTGTGCTATTTTCAGGCCTAATAGTCTTGCGCATTTCCTTGAAAATCCTCAGAAATTATCTCAATAGGAGAGATGACTACGACTGGTATGAGAAATTTTAAGGAAAAAACGGATTTCAAAGAGGCGGCGACTGAGTAGACATGGGCCCAATTGGTCGGATCTCCCCCTCGACATCCTTGAACGTATAATTGGACGTTTGCGTTGGGTAGATCGAAGCCGGATACGAGCAGTTTGCAAGGCTTGGTCAGTCCCAAACACTTGTATCCCTGCTATTGGTGAACTCCCCTGGGCAATGAAATTTTGTTGGCGTTATGCCTCTTTGTATCTAATACAAGGTGAGTGCCGGCTGCTGGACCCTCTTTCCAGAGAGTACCTTGTCGAAGAAAGGAGCAGAGGACTAGAGTATCTACTTTTCCTTGATGCACGACCTTGTGCTTCTTTATATGGGTGGGTTCTTTTCAAAGTGTACGACTTTATTGCAGAAAGAAAAGAGTCCCTCTTTTTGTACTCTCCGTTAACAACTGAGGTAATTAGGCTTCCGTATTTAGGGGGACCTCCCACATTTCAGGTGGCGGCGTTTTCCTTGAATGCAACATCCCCAAAATGTACCATCTTTCTTTTGTGGAGTGAAAATGGAAAAAATTTGTATTAAGTTATGTTCTGCCGGTGATTGTTCATGGAAGACTTTTGAGTTTGATGGTTTTGATCGGTTTAATCCTGCTATTGATGCTGCCTACACCAACGGAGTTTTCTATTGTGTTTTTAGAGAAGGTCAATTGGGTGCCTTCAATGTTGAACTTAAAGGGTGGACTATTCTGGTTGATCATTGTCCACTCGTTGATCATTGTCCACTCTCACGAAGTAGTGTGCATTATGCTAAACTCATTGTGTCTGGTGCAGATCTGCAACTGTTGTCTGATAGCTCATCTTTGAAACTCCTTAAGCTTGATTTTGCAAAGATGAATTGGGTTTATGAAAATGATTTGAATAACCGGGTGTTGTTTATCGGGTGCACTTCTTTCTCTGTTCCAGCAGTGGGGGAAGCAAATGTATTGGCAAATACCATATTCGCTTCTGGTACTTTGATGCACCCCAAAGTTAGATTTTATGGCAGCACATCTCCAAGGCGGTCGAGACTCTACCGTAAGTGTGTTGAGGCAGCAAAGTGCGACAGGATTTGGATTGAACTTCCGTTGGGTGGTATTTGGAGAGCCGATGATTTGATTCATGCTGTCTAGTTGAATGCTGCAATGCAAACCAACCATCAACAGCATTTTTTATTTATGTTTTGAACAATTAATTATTCCTGGAACATCATATGTTTTCATGAATGGAGTTTCAATTTTAGTAAGTATTCCTGGTACTTCATCAGAAGATCTTTGACCTTAGTTATGGGGTTTAGATCATGGAAAGAAGATTTAGCTAAGAATTGATAAAACCATAATAGATAAACCAAGTAATAAATAAATTTAAAGAATTGAAAGTTGGTGAAAACAAACCTTAAAACACAACACTCCGATACATATATATATATATACATACAAAGAGAGAAAAAATGCTTAATACCCAAATAAGTGTCCAAACTATAACTCTTTTTCCCGAATAGGCGCCAACATTATTTTTCGGACCATTTAAGTGACTAATGTTACAAACGTTATCACTTTAATTGTCTGAACCATCAACGACGTTAATTTCCTTCGTTAAGTGACACGTGTCACAATCTTATAATTTAATTTTTGTTATATAAAATTAAAAAATATATATATTTTTTAAAAAGAGAACACATAAATTTCGAAATACCACTAAAATATTGAAAACCTTCATTTCAACACCTAAACTCACGCCGACCGTTGCCCTTTATCGTCGACGAAATTCCACCCGACCTCACCTCCTGCTGGGGACCAAAACCCCTACGAAATCGTGACCTATCGACTGTCGATCGACTGTGAATCGACGTTTTATACCCCGCAAACCCTATGATGAAAATCGCGATCTTATGCGATTCTGACGACCAATAAGCGATAACTACGACAGCGTATAACTAGGACGATGGTAGAGACTACGTTAGCGGTGGCGGTCGTGACTGGAAAGGGTGGTGGTGGTAGTTTAGTGTTAGGATTTGGGGATTTTAGGGATTTTGAGACTTTTTTGTAATTTGATAGAAATTAAGGTTTTTTTATAAATATAATAATATTTTTAATATTTAAAAAAATTATAAAATTATTATATTGTGACGTGTGTCACTTAACGGAGAAAACTAACAGTTATTACGGGCCGAGCACTTAATGTGGTCAAGTTTGTAGCATGAGGCACTTAAATGATCCAAAAAAATACTATAGGCACCTATTTGGGGAGAATATATAGTTTGGGCACTTATTTTGGTATTAAGTCTAATTTTTAATTTGACCTATAAACTTTAGATACAATATCTCAAACTTAAATGGTCGTTAGATTGACGATTGTTAGACCCAAAATTTTTACTTCACTTATTTTTTTTACTTCATAAACATGAATCTGATTTATATTTCATAAAAAATATCTCAAACTTCGTAAATTTAATAATACCATCAAACTAACAATATTTATGTTCCAATAACTAAAACATTACATATTGACAACATAAATGATCAACATTTTTTTCTTAAATTAAATAAAAAATAAACAATTATAAAATGAAAGTAACTATTTTAATACTGCTGGGATTTTTGGAAGCTCGAATTGACAACCGGAACGGTTTGCAAAGAGGGGTCCAAACGGTTTTTGTGTTTAGGGAGTAAGAAGATTGAAAGATAGAAATTTGCACAGCGATTTATAGTGGTTCTGTTGAAACATTTTGATATTTCGATATAACAAATTAAGTTAAATAGATTTTAAGATTTTCCAAATGATTTTCTAAGTATATTCGATATAACTATTCGAATATCAAAACATTACTCCAAATATTTCAAAAATCATTTTTAATCCTTACTTAAGTGTAAAATTAAGTTTTAATCATAAAACAATTTCAAAACAATTTTACAAAGTATTTCGAACCAATTCAAAGCCAAAATTTCCAGATTGCTCAGAGGGAACCGATTCCCCCCCTGAATGGTTTGGCTCCGAGATTTCCAGAATACTCGGAGGGAACCGATTCCCCCCTTGTACAACGGTCGAAATATTTGAATTTTACACTTAGGGAACCGATTCCCTATGAGAGGGAACCGATTCCCCCCACGCTCCAAGCTGTTTTATTAAATGTTTTCACACTAAAACGGCTATAATGTCTTCTCTAATCATCCCCAACGTTCAGAAGTGATCCAAGGTGTATTTAAGCAAGCTTAGAAGCCATTGATCAAGAACAAGAAACATCAAGCAACTAGAATCAAGAGAGAATCAAAGAGAAAGCATCAAACCTCAAGTTTGAGCATTTCAAGCTTATTTTCATTCAATATTCATTTTGCTTTCAAGAACACTTTTTGTTCTCAATTGTATTCATCTTTGAGTGTTCTTTTCTTTGTTCTAGAATTGTGCAAACATCTTACCTTGTGAGGTTTTCTTGTAAGTTTGCAAATTTGTAATCTTCTCTTTGAGAAAAGAGTGTTCTCAAGAGTTGGGGTATACTCTTGAGGGAATTGTAAGGTTATCTCTTTGGCCTCAAAAGAAAGAACAAATTAGTGAATTTGTTGGAAAATCCTTAGTGTGGATAGATAAGGTAGTGGACGTAGACTTTGTTTGAGAAAGTCGAACCACTGTAAATCGCTGTGCAATTACTTTCAATTTTCTGCAAAAGCTTCCACAAAATTTTTATTGCCAATTCACCCCCCCTCTTGGCCAATTTCGTCATTCGATTAACTCAACAATTGGTATCAGAGCCTAACTCATTTGAAGGTTTTATCGCCTCTTGAGTCGATTCGGGAAGAGTTATATCGATTATTAAAGTCATCAATGGCCTCAGCTTCAAACTTCGACTCCGGTCTCGATTCGATGCCCGTCAACAAGCCTCCTTTCTTCAATGGAGCTAACTACGCCTATTGGAAGAATAGAATGATGTACTTCATTCAAGCAAGTGACATGGGAGCATGGAATGCCGTAGAAGAAGGATACATTAAGCCTATCACTCATCCAAGGTTGTGGAGTGAAGGAGATACAAAAATGTTCCAGCTCAACTCCAAAGCCATCCATATTATCTTTTGTGCTCTTGGACCAGATGAATACGGAAGAGTTTCATCGTGTACAACCGCCAAAGAAATATGGGACAAGCTTCAAGTCACACATGAAGGTACCGATGAGGTAAAGAAATCAAAAATTAGTATTCTAACGCATAGCTATGAAAATTTTAGGATGAAATCAAATGAAGACATCAAAGCTATGACGGATAGATTTTCAACGATTGTCAATGGTCTCAAATCATATGGAGAGATCATCTCAAATGAAAAGCTTGTGAGGAAGTTAGTCTACTCCCTCCCAAAATCATGGCAATCAAAGAAGACGGCAATCATCGAGTCTAAGGACCTATCGTCCTTAACTCTTGAAGAACTTATCGGTTCACTCCTCACTCATGAGATGATGCTTGAAGATGAGGTGGACCTTGATAAAGTTGAAGAGACACCAAAGGAGAAGGAGAAGAAGAAAAACATTGGAGTTGCTCTCAAATCCACAAAAGATGAGAGTGATTCTAATGATGATGATGATGACGAGGAAATGGCATTGTTCGCCAAACGGTTCAGAAAAATGATGAGACCTTACCGAGGAAGAAAATTCAAACGAAATGAAGGCCTCAAAGATGAACCAAAAGAGAAGGACCCGATCATTTGCTATGAATGCAAAAAGCCAGAGCATGTCAAATATGATTGCCCACAATTGAAGAAGAAGGGTCAATCAAAGAATAAGCACAAGGCTCATGTGGCTACATGGAGCGATGAAGAAGGTTCCGATGAAGAAGAACAAGAAGTAGCAAACTTGTGCTTAATGGCATTTGGGGAAGATTCTAAGGTAACCTCTAACTCATCTGATTTTGATGATTTATCTTATGATGAGCTATTAGAGGAATATAATGGGTTGGCTTCGGATTATGAGAAATTATTTTTAAAATATAAAAATGATGTTTCAAAGTTGAAAAATGAA